AATGAATATTTATAATAGAAGAGGCAGAAAGACCACCCTACTCGTTTCCTGATGTCATCCTGTTAGTTTTCGATAAGGGTAGATGAATTACATCAGAACAATGTATAAAGGGAAAAAATATTACACTTAGTTATGTCTCCTTTTCAAGAGTTTTTGGACGCTCTTTCTAGATTAGTGTGGTAAAGCCTATGGGGGAGACCTGCTGCTCCATACACAATGGGTTATCTCAATACAAAACCGCCTGCAAAGGGTAATGGGGCCAAAAATACGAACTAGCTGAACACGTTGCTAATACAGGACATGAAAGACAATGGACCAAAGCGCAGCATTTTATAGGCTACGGGGATTTCACGAACAAGCTTAAGAGTAGGGAGTGTATAAAAATAAAAATAAACATTCAATATCCTGAAGAGGATGAACGAGCGTAATAAATTGGGCGGGAACTATTTGTGGACATTTAACAGACTTAAGGATAGACAGGAAAAACCGCTGAGCAAGAGAAGGCTTGAGTAGCTTCGAGTATAATTAGGACTCTCTAGGTCGCATAGAGACTGATAATAGAATTTTTCCATAATAATGTACAGGTGTCGCATCGTAGAAAAGTTCATCTTTCAGTCCTTATTCAACATCGAGTGATTATAACTCGAAATTGACTTACTAAGATAATAAAAATACCGATTTAGTCAATCTACCTGCTCGAAGAGGGCTTCAATGTCGGACACGTAGTCGCTGGGCGCAGTAGCCACCTCCTTGGCCGCCCAAGAGATGCCAGATCCACCCAGGCCTGAAAAGTTGCCTCTTTTTCCGCCTCCCTCAAAGCCTCCAGTATTACTTCTACTCGCAATCGCAGCAACTGATTCACCTCCAATGACAGGACCAGAGACCAGTCTTCTGTTAATCACGGAGCTTACTGCCGTGGCAACTACCGCGGTGGGTTTTGGAGGCCTGGCCATGCGGGCGCCGGGTTGGCGTCGGTCGGTACATCCACCTTTGGCAATGCGGTACACCAGCCACTCTTCAGGAGAAACTAATCTCGGCAGTGCTTCCCCACTCAGCTCAACGATGCTGCCGTTTCCACTATTTCCAATAGCAGCAAAATTGTCACTGGCGGACACGATGCCAGCACCGGTCACAGAGCCTTCACTAGTACCACCTCCGCCTATGACACTTTGAGATGGGTCAGTAGCAGAAAAACTTTCATTCGTGATGGAGCCAGTATCAGTGATAGACGAAAACATACGATTGACGGTAAGAGATACACGGCTTGGTCGGGGAGTAGATGTGACCGAAGGGGTGATTGAGCTTGTATGGGCAGATTTGATCCTAGAATATACAGGAAAAAAGAGTATTAACACAGATGATTAAAAAAAATAAACCCAAAAAAATGAAAAACTTAGCTTGAATTTAAGTGATTTTAATTAATCTATTTAAGTGTTATGGCCACAACACAGCCTTACTATGAGGCAAAAGGCTTAAAAATATCAAAATTTACTAAAAAAATATTTTGTTACGCAAATTAAAATAGGGTTATAAGGAATTTATTTGTCATTATTGAGCCCATTTCCATTCATAGGGAGCGTGCAATGAAGAGAGTCAAAGTTGGATCCTTGCGGAAAAAAATTTAATTAACGAAATACTAGAATAAGGCAGGGTTAGCGATAACTTTGCCTATTGCTCAAGCATAATCAGGACAAACAAGAATACAGCAATACCAACAAAAAGAAGATGCCTGAATAAAGGACCTATCGCAAATCAAAGGAAAAAAGATTGCAAGGAAGAGGCGAGTGAGGAACATTCGAAAATCAAGATAAATCTCTTTCAGTGGATGTAATCTGCCCGAAAAATAACCACAACTTTAGGAGCCTGGCGGTAACAGGACTAGTAAGACAGATAATCACAATCGTCACAGAAATTTTTAATTATGGCGAAATTGATTAGAATTACATTCGAGCTACAGCATGCGACCAGAGAGAGACACTCACAGCTTGCTCAGGGTGCACGGGTTGAAGGAATCAGAAAGATTAGCCGTGGAGACAATGCCTAAGTGCTTTATTCGGTGAGGAGATAGATGACTCTAAAGGCTTGAGAAATAGCGCCTGAAGTAAAAAGTATACTTGGACTGGGACCGAGTGAAATTGGCCAACCAGAAAGATAAGAAACGGATCTACAGGCCCATGAGGGAGATCCTGATGGGAGGCCTAAGTCGAATCAGCCATTCGAAATGGAGAGGGGCAAGGTGAGCAGTAGGCGTGATGAAACCACATTTACCTCGGCAAAAAAGGTACACCTCTTAAGGAGTGGAATATAAACAAATATGAAGTTTTGAAAGGGCAGTAGTGCGATAAGAGGATTTGGAATATGTAGCTGTAGCAGGACAGAAGGAGTAATAGTACAACTGGTTCGGCAGAAAGTTTATCAAGGAATTGACTTAACTTGCCCCTTTGATGAATTGTGGTTTGGCCCTAAGACTGGCAAGACACACTGACGATACTGACTACGTCTGGAAGTGTATCAAGTTCACGGTCCAATGCTGAGAATTATCGTAACTGCTATGGTAGAGGACTTCGGACAAGCTGCGTCCAATTATGTCGTCCTGACAACAAGACCAAGTTGAGAAAACGAGATCAGACCACTTCTATAAATCGAATGGAGACTGCGACCAAAATATCTTTGCTACAACCTCTTGTTCTTGTAGCTACGTTTAAAAAGTACGAATTATTAAAAAATCCTATCCAAAACGAATAAAGTAAAGTGAGCAGATTAGAAGTTCGGGAAACAAGTAACTTTGACTTTATACTAACTTTGAGACTAGTATTTAACAATAACTAAACTATGTCCTTTCTATCATAATTTTTAAGTATATTAAAAGTGTGTTTCATATTTATTTATTTATTTATTAAGGCTTGAAATAATAAAAATTGTACCGTGCTAATAAGGACCTTATAGATACCTCTTTCATCATTACTTAGTGCACAGTAAGTAGGTTTTGAGACTAACAGTAAATTTCTTAATTAAGTATTGCCACTTTGTATTTGCAAATTTAACTTGGGAAGGTATGAAGACCAAGATGGTGTGGCTTTTTGTGTGGTCGCAGCCTCTTTTCGTTGTATAGATGTTGTTTGATCTTGTTTTCGCAACATGGTCATATTTGTAGGAAGACTCATTGGAACGCACCTAGTCCGGGGTCCATTGTCTGCATGATCATTTCCAAAGTTGAACCATGGACGTGGAACATTAACAAACGTTTCGCCGGCATCGTAGTCAGCATCGTCAGTGAGTATCGCCATCCTAAGCATCCTCCCCTTCCGCCCTGGGTTATCCGCGTTTCCGGAAGTATCCTATTATGCCTGCCCTATTACAATTTTACCGTGTTTATTTAGCTAGTGTGGTGTGCTCCTTTGAGCGACATGACTCTCGTTCTCGCCCCCCTCACCTCATCTTTATGCAGGGAATGC